GCATAGAAAAATAATTGAAAAAGAAACATGTTCGAATGTTTACTGTCTATAATCTAACTGTCTAGTTCTTATCCTATCTAGTATCTACCTATGTCCTATATAGTCTCGAACTCGTGAGTCGTCAGTAAGGAAACATACACTGCAGCGGGCAGCGGCGGCCAAACGGTCGATCTCGGACGATTTTGAAGTCGATATATCCCGGCTATTTGTTAATTTAACAAAATTAGTGTATTTTTTGTTTCAAACGATATTTTAAACAAAATAAATTGTTTGAATTTTAAACAGTATAATACAGGATGTCCTGTAAGGATTTACTCATTGCGATATCTCCTGAAATAATGGAGATATCGTAATTATGTTTTTTTATTAAGACTCGCAGAGGTAAGCACTACAAATATTTTATTTTTTAATTAAATTAAATTTTTTAGTAAAAAAGTTAAAAAAATTATTTTTTTATTTTTGAAAAAATTGAAGTTAGCCATTCATAGAGTATATTTTTGTGAACATTTTGAGCTTTTAACATTTTATTTTCATTAATCTCATGATTTTTAATAATTTTTTTAGTTTATTAGTAAAACGTCAATAAACTGGTTTTTGTCCGGGCGGCGAGTCCCCCTCTACGGCTAATGAGTAAACCCTCACGGGACACCCTGTATTTAAAAAAGCTTAATTTTAATTGAATATGTCCATGGGTGCAACTACAGGGGGGCTTGGGAGTGCTTAGCAGTTAGCACTCCCAATATCAACATTATCACTCCCAAATTGTCTGTGACGGTTTCTTACAATAATAGTAATAGTAAAACTTCTGATTTTATAAACAATAATTGAATAATTTATGATAAATTATCAAAATATATTGTATTTCTAAGTTATTTTAATTTGTATTGGTCAATGGAAACATCAAATGCATTTATTAAATTTGGTTTATCATTGTATTAATTGTACTGTATAGTGTATACACAATTAAGTAGAATCAGTAGGTTTAACATTTCCTAGTTTCCCAACCAACGCTCAATAATCGTCGTTAAGAGGACGCCACACCCGCATGTGTTGTCTCCGTTTTACAAATGTACAACATAGCAAAAACTCTTTTGCGAGGGACAACTTTTCTCGCACCATATTTGTTGTAGAACTACCAAATTTTCACAGCACTTAAAGAAGAACTTTATCTGTGCAACAGCGTGCTCTTTTTATCAATAACACCATCCAATCATTTTTTATAAGCAAATTAAAAAACCAAATGTTTAGAAGCAAATAACTTGTATTGTATATATGTTATTGAAAAAAAGAGCACTCTGTTGCACAGATAAAGTTCTTCTTTAAGTGCTGTGAAAATTTGGTAGTTCTACAACAAATATGGTGTGAGAAAAGTTGTCCCTCGCAAAAGAGTTTTTGCTATGTTGTACATTTGTAAGACGGAGACAACACATGCGGGTGTGGCGTCCTCAAAAGAACGCGGAACGATTCTACTTTAATAAACGAATATCGATTTTTTAAATTTTTTTTCCCAAATGTGTGTCTTAGGGTGTTTTGTAATTTGTAAAAATGTAAAAAAAAAGCCCGGACAAAATTCGTTTTGAAGTTATTGATGAAAAACTACAAAAACTACATTTTTTCCGTAACGCGAATTTTTTTTTAAAAAAAATACTTAGAATTGAATATTTTTAAATTTTCTTTTTTTTCAAAATGTGTGGTTTTGTAGTTCGGGCCTATTTTTGAAGTTATAGCCTAATGAAGTTTACTATTTTGCGATTTTTACGCATTCACGCATCACTCTAGTTTACTGAGCCTTTTAAAAATATTGATATGTTATTTTGAAACTTGTGTACCTACCCATCCTGAGGGCTGAGGGCAGACGGATGACCCAATAAATAAACTTAACCTTGTTAGTAAAAGTTACACAAGTATAATGGCTCCCGTCTCCTATACCGGCTATCGGCTCCGGTCTCCAAACTCGATGATCACTTAGAGTAACATAAGTATATTGTATTATTGTAGGTCAGTGTTTGGAAGGAACGGATTCCTGGAACTAATTCCTTTTTATAAAAAAGAACGAGAAAATGAACTAATTCTTTTTTACAAGGTGAAATAACAAAATTGTTCGTTCCTCTCAAGTTCCAATAATTTACACAGAAAAGCATGTAAATAATTTAACTCAACTACTCAAGTTATATTTTTTTTAATGTGTATAATGTATATTGCTAATTATAAAAAGGTGGGTAAGTGGATGTCGCTCGGCTGTACTGTAGGTTACAAGTGGGTCACTGTATAATGGATGGTATTAAATTTGAATGCAATGATATAATATCATTGTATAAGAAAAACGATTCTGAGCGGTGACGGTATGTCGGTATGTCAGTCTTGGTATAAGACATATTATATACTTTTCTATGGTATTAAATTATATGGAATTTATGAATAAATTCCTTAAAATATGCACAGTCTTATCATGAGCATAATTCTTATTCCTTATGCTATGGTAGATTGTATGGATAGGCCAAAATATTTTGATTTTTCAGTTTCATTTATCCCCGAATAATATTTTTAAATTACAACAAAAACAAAGATCGTTAATATTGATTTTAATATGTAATTTCGTCCAAATTTGAATTTAAAATGTCTGTAAAAAATAACTATGTTCATATATTTTTTAGATTTTTTGGTTACAGTATGAACTATTTATGAGAACCTTTGTTTTAAATTTGCAATCTTTAGCTATAAAAACTGAACATTTTATAATTTATTAATTACAATGATTGATAATTTTCGAGATTTTGATAAATTTTGTCAAAATTCGATGTTTAAATGCTTATAAAAAATTGTGCCAATGTATTTTTAATATTTTTCAATTGCTACTGTAACAATATATCAGGAACCTTGTATTAAATTTTTACACTTTTTGGCCCAACAGATAAAACTTTATTGATATTTATAGAAAAAAAAAACTAAAAAAATTGAAAACTGAAAATGTCCGTAAACAGCTCAAAAAGAGTCGAAATATTTTCAAAATTGTATGGTGTATAGAAAATGCTAATCTGAACATTCAGTGAAATTTACATGTATCTACAATTATTCGTTTTTGAATTACAACAAAATAAGGAAATCGCTACATGAGAAATCAAGTGAATATCCAATGTTGTAAAAATTTGAATTTCAAACGCCCATATTTTTCATTTGCCTTTGAAACAATATACTAGGAGCCTTCTATTAAATTTTCAAGTATTTTTAACCAACAAATAAAATTTTATTGATATTTCTAGAAAAAAAACTAAAAAAAAATGAAAAATGAAAATGTCCTTAAACAGTTCAAAATAAATCAAAATATTTTGAAAATGTTATCGTGTATAGAAAATGCAAATATAAACAACCAGTGAAAATTTCATGTATCTACGGTAATTTGTTTTAAAGTTACACCCAAAGATTTTGCGTAAAAATTCCCGTTTTTCCTTAATTTTCTTTTGTTTTTCTTGGCGCTTTTGAAAAGTACTGGGAATTTTAAATTTTGACCCCCCCAATGCACCAAAGATATTCACTTTCCAATCGAACAAGATACTGAAGTCGGAAATCGAAGCATTATTTCGACTACTTATCGTGTACACAGACAAAAAAAAATAAAAAAAAAATATAAAAACACACATCATTGTAAAATCAATACATTCATCTTTCCAATCAGAATCTAAAAGTACAAAAAGTACAAAAATATTTACCTAGGTAGTATAGCTACGCCTACTTGTATATATTAGAATCAAAAATTGAAGAAGTATGCATATGAAAAAAAAACATTAATTATTAAATAAGAATTTTTATTTTATTTGAAACTAAAAGAGGAACTCGTTCATTTTCTAAAGGAACTATACAAAGGAACGAATTCTTTTTTCTAAGGAACAAGGAACGGAACGAATTCCTTTTTATAAGGAACTTGCCACACACTGTTTCGCCTACCGGCTTCGGTCGCCAAACTCGAGGTCCTAAGGACCTCCCGGGGCTGAATTATCAAACCTGGTGCGGAGGGATATGTTGGTAACTACCTATTAACCCATGTATAAGTATTATATTGTCTTTATAAATAAAATTGTAACTACCTGTTTACGTATGTCATTAAATTTTTTTCATAAATTTGGCAACTTTTAAATTTAAATACCTGCAAAAACTTCAAAAGTAAGTATGTTAGGTAAGTTTTAATTTTACCAATATATTGAGCGTTATAAACCACAAATTTAAAAAAAAAAATTTCGTTTTTGAAGTTTTTATCAATAATATCCTAATATAGGTACACATTTTGGAAAAAAAAAAAATTTGAAAAATTGATAGGTTGCTAAATCAGAATTATGCTTAATTATTTAATACTTTAATTTGTTTTCTGAAAGATATCTGTTATTATTTATTATTAATAATAAACAAATAAAACACAATATTCACTTGGATTTTACACTGTTTTAAACGTATGTTGTATTCGTTTTAAAAAATGTACATAACATTTAAAACAAATGTTTTAAATTCATGTTTTAAACATGTTTAAGACAAGACCTGACAAGTTGTCTATAACATTGTATTTTAAACGTAACAACCTTGGTTAAACTATACTTAAAAGTTAAAATTATTATTATATGTTAAGAAGAAATTTAAGGACACAGGCATTTGTTGTTCTTGTCTTACAAAAGTAGAACATGGAAAATTTTACATTTTGTAGTTAAAAATGTATAAAATGTTCAACTATTATAGCTAAGGATTGTAAATTTAAAGAGAGGTTAAATATGTTACCAAGTTAATAGGTAAATAAATTACTTTACTTATAACCTTAAATTGTCCAAATCGAAATATGATTTTTAGTATGTAAATCTCAACCATAAACTTTGCCCCTAATATTATATTATATTAGGTGTCCAGTGTGCTTTGAATAATAATATAATTGGCGCCAACTTTCGTGATAAGTGATAAGTGTGATACAAGCACGATTATAAAGAACTTTATAAGAGACGGTTCTATACATTTTTTCAAAATCAATATAAAACATTTAACATACTTTTCTCTTTAAAGTTGCTGCTGCTGCCATAGATAAACTTTGCTTCGTCATCAGAAACGTCATCATTGCTTGTTGGTTCTTTTGCTTTAACCGAATGACACTGATTACTTAACGCATTCATACTGTGAGCACAGCACAAAGTTCTTTTCCGATTTAGGAGAATATTAAACATTAATCGGATAGTAGTCCTTATTGAATTCATATTTGTACTTATGATCAATAATGCGGTACAGTCCAAAATAAAGTCATGCATTTTTTTGCTCTTTGTGATGGATTTAACACATGTAGATATCATGTGTTGAAAATGTGAACTACACAGCAGTATAACAATAAATTGTTGATTTGGTTCGTCAGATTTGCAGTATTTATAACAATTATTAATATAATCAATTAAACTCAATTTGTTCCAGGATTCACAAACTGCACTTAACAATGCCATGCTAAAATCTAAAACAACAGTCCTAAATATTGGCCACTTTTGTCCAAAACTATGTTTGAAACGCATCAAATAACAGCTAATAGCCACAATGTTATGTTCGGATGATACAAAATTCAATAAAGGTATTAATTTACCATCTATATTCACAACACTGGCATAATAATATACCCTTTCCCCTTTGCATTTATTTTTCTCACAACAGATCCCGTAGCATCTAAATGTAAGACTAATGAGGACTTATCGATAACACTTCGAATAGAGTTAAAATGCTGTACAGAAAAAAATAGACAACCAATGGGGTCACTGGCTTGGTGTACATATATATCATCAGGTAAACATATGTCTCGTTCCTTTCTTCATCTTAAAATTAAATCGGCTACATCGTCCCAATGTAAATCGTTTTCAGCAAGTTTTTCATTTCGTGCCATCTGCAAAGCATTTTTTGAATAAATGTAGCTCAAGTTACCAGCAGCTAACATTTCAGGGTCAGCCTTCAAAATAGCATCTCTTCTGACCATGGCAACAGTTTTATGAGATAACTCTTCTTTGATAGCTTGCCTTCGTAACCCCGTTAATGAAGGTGCATGAAATATTCCCGGTTTATGATTACTACCAATTTTTGTAGACAATAATTCTAAAGTGTATATTGTGTTGTCTGGATATACCAAAAATCTAAATACATAATGGTTGCAATCATCATGCTTACAACGAGCATAAAACACCGATGCAAGGCGTTTTCCTTCTTTTGTAATTTTAACCTTTTTATTTTTTCTTGAAGAATAATATTTTAAAACACAATAATTTTTAATCTCAATCATTTTTTTTTAAAATAATTGTTTTACATGGTCATGGTTTTCAAGATAATTTGTCTGTGCCACTGTAGATCCTGTCAAAATCCAAGATCCACACAAATTTGAGAAACTATTAGTATTATTCTTAGCATCATTAAAAATAATATTATCGCACTGTGCATGGTTATTAAGCATATTTATAACATCAGTTTGTTGTAATTGTTTGTTTATTTTACCAATAGTAGATATCAATGAACTATTGTTTGTTGTAAGCTTGCAATGTAAACACCTTAATACATTTCCAACCACTGGATAATACATGTCGGTTTTAATTAATGAAAAACAAAATGCAAAATCATCTTCGTTTAAGGTATTAGATATTTCCAAGTAGGACTTTAAACGATTCAAATACATAGTTAATTTTCTAATTAATCTGTAATTAAAACCTCCAGTTCTTAAGACATGAAAATTGTGCAAGTTGTCGTCTAAGAACAAATTTGAGTGCAATACCTCATCATCGATATCACGTGTTAAAGGTTTATGTGGACAATAATTACCAAAATATTTTGTAATAACTGTTACTCCCAAATCCATGTTCTTTAAATTACTGAACACCACTATACAGAGGAACATAGCGTTGCAATCAACTTCCAAACATTCTGATCCTATAGCATAAACTATTGAAGGATTATTTATTTTAATTGTCTTTTTTTCCTCAAAATTACACCACAATTATACCACAATTTATGGTAATCGGAAAAAAAAAATCCCCTGGAAAAAAAATCCCCGACCCTAGGAAAAAAAATTCCCAGCTACAATATTACTCACAATCACATGCAAATGGTTGAACAAATTAATTTGGACGTTAATAATTAGTATCTATAATTAATATTTAATGACAAATACGTATATTATATTCTATTATTATATAATATATTATATTAAAAAAACGACCAAACTTGGAAAAATGAGGACGACAGAAAGTAGATTACAAGAACTTTGCGCCAGGTTTGTAAGTGGAAAAATAAATATTCCTGATTTTTTAAATTCAATAAGCCATAACATTAGAAAACAATCTAATAATTAACTGTGAGCAGTGACTAGGTACCTATTCATTTTTTTATGCTATATTTTTAACTAATTAAACTAATTAACTATATCTAACAATTGTTTGATCATTATTTTATTATTATTATTACCATTTTATATTATTGACAATTATTATGATCGATACATTCGAAATATTTTTATAATATATGCTATGTTTTTTTATTTATTGTTTGATAATAATTTTACTATGATTATAATTATTATTATTATCATTATTATTACCACCTATATTTCGTATAAAATGTTTGTATACCTACTAAATATTTGTATATGTTATGTTTTTACTGTAAGTAGGTGACTATAATACATTCAAAATTCAATAAATTATTATTTGATAATTATTTTATTATGATTATAGTTATTATTATTATTATTATTGATATTACCATTTACCACTTATATTTAAAATTTTTTCTAATATTTTTATATACCTACTATGTTTTGAACTGTATTCTTTGACGTATCGATCACTCGAAATATTTTTATACTTTATATATTTGTGTACACTACACGCCTCACACAACAATCATAAATAATATTTGAAGTTTTGAAAACGTAATATTTTATTTCAGGGATTTAATTTTTACAGAATTATACCAACATAAAATGTGTATTAATATAGTACCTATGAATTATTATAAGTTACCTATGTATCTACTTGTAAAAAACTTGACTACCGGGATTTATATAACAAAATGCGATTTAGGTAACCTATTGGCTATTGATCTATTATAAAATAGAAACTTAATCTACCAATAATATCACTATATAAAATAATTAAAAGTGATAATTTGAAGATGATTTCTTAAAACCCTAAAATATTATTTTTAATTTAGTGTCTAATCCATATAGTTCGGTTTTTCGGAAACCTATGTGTTGCAACCCATTATACCATTAATGATGTAAAAATTATTAACTTATACCTAGCATATAAGTTTTAGAACTAATATTTACATTTGAAATTATATATACTTATAAATTGCCCACGCCCACAATTTTAGAAAAATTAAATAGTAGGTATGTAGTTACATGTAAGCCATGGTTATGTTCGAATAAATGGAATGGACAAACAACGAAATATTATTATGTCGATCATCAATGACTATGTAATGATTTTACAGCTAACAACGTCTTCTTAGCTCTCACCAACTTAGCCACACCCCGTTGTCTGAATATCAAGTCTAATAAACTTGTCAATTCGAAAGCGATCGTTATTATATATTATTGGCGGTATCCAATTACACGGTCTACATTTTATACCGGCAACTATTTATAGTTGCCTGTAGGCTGAAGCCTAAATGGAAACTTTTTCCCTTTGGAACTGACGACAATCTGCTTTTGCATTACTTACACGGCTTAAGATATAACTATAACGGATTCCTAGAGTTGTACATCAACACTGAACCACGTATATTGTTTAATAATGGTGCACAAAAACAATGACCTGTATTGTAGCTGAAATGCCTATCCAAAGCGCCGTGTTATCATAAATTTGTATTTAAAAAAATGTTATAAAACTATTAATATAATATTATGATTTATGATTTACCGGAAAAACTAAATAACAGTAACGTCTTAAGCGTGCTGCGTGTGCTTAGTGATTTTGCTATTTTAGAAAACTAAAAAAAGTTTTAGAAAAAATTATACAATTGGAACACATTATAGAGCTCAAACTGAAATTTCCAGAATATTAAACAGAAAAAACTATTCAAAATAAATAGCTCATTAAAGGAAAACTATTCATAGGGCACCTGCGGGATATCAATGATCCAGTCTATATAAAAAATTCAACAAGAGTAAAATTCCTAAAAAAAAAAATTGAAGGGGAGAGTTGGCGCCCGCAGTCAAATGCATTTTAGAAAACCAAAAAAAAAATTAGAAATAATTATACAGTAGGAAAACAAATTCAAGAGTACAAAATAAAATGTTCAGAATCTTAAACAGAAAAAGCAACTGACAATGTTTAGCTCATTAAAGAATGATAGTAAATAAATAAAAAACAAATGTATTGAATGGTGCTCGTGAGAGAAACTAAAAATCTTCTTTTATATAGTAAGTATACAGGTACTCAGTGTATTCCCTGGTATAATCGGTTAATGTTTAAAAACGTTTGTACAAAAAAATTGAAGGGCTGTGTTGGCGCCCGCAGGCGATTGCATTTGAGAAAACCAAAAAAAATGTAGAAAAAACTATACAGTAAAAAACACATTAAAGAGTTCAAACTAAAATGTCCAGAATGCAAAACAGGAAAAACAATATTGCCAATGATAAGTTCATTAAAGAAAGATGATACAGAGGGCACATGCTTATTAGCAATATTCAGGTCTATACAAAAAATTCAACTAGTCAAATTCCTAAAAAAAAATTGAAGGGGAGTGTTGGCGCCCGCAGGCAATTGCATTTTAGAAAACCAAAAAAAAAATTTAGAAAAAATTATACAATCAGAACAGATATCAATGAGTTCAAACTACAATCTTCAGATTCATAAACAGAAACTAATAATCCACAACGATTACCTAGCTCGTTTAAGAATTTCAATACAGAGGGCACCTGCAGGTTATCAAAATTCAACTAGAGACAAATTCCTAAAAAAAAAATTGAAGGGGAGTGTTGGCGCCCGCAGGCGATTGCAATTTAGAAAAACAAAAAAAATGTATAAAATAATTATACAGTAAGAAACACATTAAAGAGTTCAAACTAAAATGTCCAAAATCCAAAACAGAAAAAACAATGTTGCCAATGATTAGCTCATTAAAGAATGATGATACCGAAGGCAACTGCTTATTAGCAATATTCAAGTTTTTACAAAAAATTCAACTAGTCAAATTCCTAAAAAAAAAAATGAAGGGGAGTGTTGGCGCCCGCAGGCAATTGCATTTTAGAAAACCCAAAAAAAATGTAGAAAAAATTATACGATATTAAGGCATATTGAAGTGTTCAAACTAAAACGACCACAATCTTAAACAGAAAAACAACTGACGATGATAAGCTCATTAAAGAATGATTATACTGAGGGCACTTGCAGGTAATCTATAAACAAGTCTGTCCAAAAAATTCAATTAGAGTCAAATTACTAAAAAAAAATTGAAGGGGAGTGTTGGCACCCGCAGGCAAATGCATTTTAGAAAACCAAAAAAAAAATGTAGAAAAAATTATACGATATTAAGGCTTATTGAAGTGTTCAAACTAAAACGACCACAATCTTAAACAGAAAAACAACTGACGATGATAAGCTCATTAAAGAATGATTATACTGAGGGCACTTGCAGGTAATCTATAAACAAGTCTGTCCAAAAAATTCAACTAGAGTAAAATTCCTAAAACAAAAATTGAAGGGGAGTGTTGGCGCCCGCAGGCAAATGCATTTTAGAAAACAAAAAAAAATTATACAATCAGAACACATATCAATGAGTTCAAACTACAATCTTCAGATTCATAAACAGAAAAAACAACCATTGTGGGTTCAAACTAAAACGATTCAGATTCATAAACAGAAAAAACAACCATTGTGGGTTCAAACTAAAACGACCAGAATCTTAAACAGAAAAACAACTGACGATGATAAGCTCATTAAAGAATGATTATACTGAGGGCACTTGCAGGTAATCTATAAACAAGTCTGTCCAAAAAATTAAACTAGAGTCAAATTCCTAAAAAAAAAAATTGAAGGGGAAGTTTACGCCCGCAGGCAAAAACATTTTAGAAAACCAAAAAAAAATTTAGAAAAAATTATACAATCAGAACACATATCAATGAGTTAAATTACAATCTTCAGATTCATAAACAGAAAAAACAACCATTGTATGTTCAAACTAAAACGACCAGAATCTTAAACAGAAAAACAACTGAAGATGATAAGCTCATTAACACGTTCAGGACCGAGAGTAAATCCGAGTGCTCTTTAAATAAACCGCCCAAAAAATGGCTTTTGACATAAATAAGAATTAAAAAATATAAATAATAACTATCTGAGGCCAAAATTTGAACCCGCTGTAAAAAAAAAACCTTTAGAATAGACCACGGAAACTTGATATTTGTTAAAATAAACCGGTGAAAATCATTCCTATATAAAACGATATTCACCATGTCACATATATGTGATACCGGTCCACCTAAAGACACCCCATGTCACATATTTGTGACACTTGGCCGTGAACGTGTTAAAGAATGATAATACAAAGGGCACCTGCAGGTAATCAATAAACAATTCTGATCAAAAAATTCAACCAGAGTCAAAAACTGTGCCTATATATTTTTAATATTTTTCAACTGATACTATTGTAACAATAAATCAGGAGCCTTGCATTAAATTTTTACACTTTTTGGCCCAACAGATAAAATTTTATTGATATTTATAGAAAAAAAAACTAAAAAAATTGAAAAATGAAAATATCCGTCAACAGCTCAAAAAAAGTCAAAATATTTTCAAAATTTTATAGTTTATAGGATATGCTTATCTGAACATTCAGTGAAATTTTCATGTATCAACAGTTATTCGTTTTTGAATAACAACAAAATAAGGAAATCGCTACATGAGAAATTGAGTGAATTTCAAACGCTCATAAAAATTTAATTTGACTGTCCGGTAGAGATTTTTTTATTGATAAAGGTAGACAAACTTATGAGTAATCTTGTATTACATTTTCAAATCTTAGATTTAAAAAGAAAAATTTTTACGAATTCTTAACTCAAAATAATTTGCTAATTTTCGTGATTTTTCGATATTTTGTCAATTTTTGAACTTTAAATGCTTATAAAAAAAAACTGTGACTAACGATTTTTAATATTTTTCATCTGCCTTTGAAACAATATACTAGGAGCCTTCTATTAAATTTTCAAGTATTTTTAAATAAACATAAATAATTAATATCCACAATCTAAATAATAGATATTATATATAGAATCTTTAATCTACATAATATTATTATTTCGTTAATGTTGATTTTGAAAAAATTTATAGAACTGTCTCTGATACATGTAAAATAACCGACAATATTGTGAGTTACTACCCAATAAGGAATATTATTGTGAATTGTTTGCAAAAAAATTTCTTAATTTGTATTTACCATTCACTTGTATGTGGACAAGATTGATGATGCCACAAGAAGTTATGTCAAAATATTCGGTTAAAACTGTTACAAACGGTAATGTAGAAAAGCATTTTGATAACGTAAAAAATTCTTTGATGAAAGGTGAAACAAATATGAAACTTGGTCGTTTTGTTAATAAAATTCAAATTTACACTGAAGCTGTGTGTAAAGAAATAAAAGATAAAATACCAAGGGTATTGTACAAACGTAAAAAAAACCAAATACAAATTCCATTTAGACATTTTTTAACAGACCATAATTATGCATTATTGAGTTCACAGTCTAATAACCGCCCCCCCTCCCCCCAGGTACGGCAATGGTCAGTTGTGAAATTGTATTTGTATATACAGTAAAACTTCCATTAACGGTCACCTCTATAGGACGGTTACTCTAGCTTCTTAGCCCGCGATAATGTTAATTGTTGTTTATTCCAAGCCAAACTGATATGATATTTTCATCCATGAAAGTGATATAAACCGTTTTTTCCAAAGTGATATAAACCGTTTTCATTTACTGTCTGGTTCTTTGGGCATTGGGTCAGAATATTTACAATCACGGTCCTAGAATAAGACGAGAATATAACGAGCGAAAGTGTCATTAATGGGTGGCTGCTCTCATCAAACGTAACATGTTGTATATAATTTATTGTAAACTGTTATTATTATTAATATTAATTTGTTTTGATACCTTATATGTATATTCTGTATCACATTTACCTATTGTGCCTAAGGTATAGATTGTAAATTTCTCTTAAAAAAAAAAAAAAAAATTTTATAACTATATCTGGCTAGATATAATAATTTTTTTTTTTATGTGTACCTATATTATATACAAAAGTCCGACAACAAAAGTATTTAACTTTAAAAGAATTTAAGTAGAAACTAAGTAGTAAGTACCTACAAGCTACAAACAAATTATTTATATATTTACAAATTACATTACGTAATAGGTATATAATATTATTATTTATTACTAGGTATGTATATATATATACCATGATATATAATATAATAATATTGATGTGCTTAGTGTACCATCTAGCTTTATACAATAAATATATAGACGATCGTTGGCTTTAATATTAACCACTAGAGCGCAGCAGAGCGCTAGATCCGGATTTTTAGTGCGAAATCGACAACAGTTCTTTGTGTAGATAACTCTTGAGTTGCATAGGCCTGTTTACAATTATCGGTATTGCAATAAGCTGATAACTGTTCGTGAGTGATAATTATTAAACATTTATTATTCCGTGACAAAATAATTATAATATGTAATGATTTTTATTTGAATTGAATTTTGAATTTTTATTTTTGAAGGTTTCAGTACACGGAATATTGATTACCCATAATATACAATATACCTACATTAATTGTCGTTGTAATTTTGACAGTCAGATATTCAAATCAGATTTGGTAAATGTTATTTTTATTACCGTTCGTCTCATCATTGATTATAAATAGTAAATAGGTACTAGTATTTATAATCAATGGTCTCGTACTCTAGTGTTTGATCTCACCTCAGAATAAAATTGATTAATAAATTTAATCTGATTTTTCACTAATGGAAGTGGTTTTCGTTTAGGTGCAAATTATAGATCTTATTAGGGATGGCGGCGGCGTTCGAAGAGATGGGCGTTTTGCCCGAAATAGGTAAAGCCATCGAGGAAATGGACTGGCTGTTGCCTACGGACGTCCAAGCGGAAGCAATACCTCTAATTCTTGGCGGTGGCGATGTGTTAATGGCCGCGGAGACTGGTAGCGGTAAAACGGGAGCGTTTTGTTTACCGGTTATTCAAATAGTGTGGGAAACACTCAAACAATCTGGTAAACACCGGGATAGCTTACCGGGGAAGATGTCTGGTGTCACAGATCCCTGGGCTATGAGTGTGTGGGATCGTTCGTCTGCTGTGGCCGTAACGCCAGACGGTAACAAATGTCAATCAAGAGAGCAAAAGGATTGGCACGGTTGTAGAGCTACCAAAGGCGTTAAAAATTCGGGAAAATATTATTTCGAAACAACTGTCACCGATGAAGGTCTTTGTCGAGTCGGCTGGTCTACTCCGGGAGCCGTGTTAGATTTGGGTACAGATAAATTTGGTTTTGGTTTCGGTGGAACTGGCAAAAAGTCAAATAACAAACAGTTTGATTCTTACGGACAGAGTTTTGGTTTACATGATACAATCGGCTGTTGGTTGGATCTAGACAATTGGACTATTGGATTCAGTAAAAACGGTACATATCTTGGTGATGCGTTTAAAATACCTGCAAATTTAAAAACATCTGCATTTTATCCAGCTGTTGTATTAAAAAACGCTGAAATATCATTTAATTTTGGTGAATCTTCATTTAAATATGATATTCCCAAAGATTTCTCTGCTGTAAGTAAAGCACCTAGCAATTGCATTGAATTATCTCAGTGTAATGCTCCAAAAATAGATTCAAATACAAAAAAACCAAGTAACGCACCATATGCAATAATTATTGAACCTTCTAGAGAATTGGCTGAACAAACTTTTAATCAAATTAAAAAGTTTAAAAAATACCTTGAAGAACCACAAGTTAAGGATCTTCTAGTAGTTGGTGGTTTTAGTATTAAAGACCAAATTGCTGCCTTATCATCAGGCGTTGATATTATTGTTGCTACACCTGGCCGCTTGGAAGATCTTATATCTGGTGGTCATTTATCTTTATCTCAGTGTAGATTTTATATACTGGACGAAGCCGATGGATTATTAAAACAACGTTATACGAAGCTTATAGACAATCTTCACGAGAAGATGCCAAAAGTTTCAAATGATGGTAAGAGACTTCAAATGATTGTTTGCTCAGCTACACTTCACGATTTTGAAGTAAAAAAATTGGCATCACGTCTCATGCACTTTCCAACTTGGGTAGATCTTAAAGGTGAAGACGCTGTTCCCGAGACTGTACACCATGTCGTGGTTAATGTTGATTCCCAAAAGGATTCATCATGGACTTCATTGAAAAATCATATTCCAACTGATGGTGTACATGATAGAGATAATGTAAGAGCACTAAATACATCTGAAGCTTTATCTCAAGGAGTAAAGCTTTTAAAGGGTGAATACTGTGTCAAAGCTATAAACAAACACAAAATGGACAAAGCTCTCATATTTTGCCGCACTAAACTTGACTGCGATAATTTAGAAAAATACTTCAAACAACTTGGTTCTTTTTATACTTGTTGTACTCTTCATGGATCACGTAATGTTAATGATCGTAGAATGAATTTAGAAAAGTTTAAAAATGGTGAAATTAAGTTCTTAATTTGTACTGATGTAGCAGCTCGTGGAATTGATGTTAATGGGTTACCCTTCATGATTAATATGACTTTACCCGATGATAAGACTAACTATGTACACAGAATTGGCCGTGTGGGTAGAGCAGAACGTATGGGGTTGGCCGTGTCATTTGTGGCAACTATCCCAGAAAAAGTGTGGTATCACGGTGAATGGTGTCCATCCAGAGGACAGAGGTGTTCAAATACTAACTTAACTACCAGCAAAGGCTGTTGCATATGGTACAATGAACCCCAATATTTGGCTGAAATTGAAGATCATTTGAACATCACTATACCACAGGTTGATTCAAAACTGGATATTCCTATGAATGAATTTGATGGAAAAGTCATGTACGGCCAAAAAAAAACAAATAAAGGACCCACGTATAAAAATCATTACGACCAACTATTGTCTACTATCAATGAACTCACACAATTAGAAACTAAGGCTCAATATTTGTATTTGCACATGCTTAATAATTAACTGTAACATTTTGTACAAAGTACTTATATTTAAAAAAAAAACATCCATTTTTTTTATTGAACATTTGAAAATATAATTTTCTTCTCTAAATTCCTGACTGAGTTTTGTTTTCTAATTTTATACACTTCTGTATAATTATATACTGTGTGTTAAAAATCATGACATTGATTACAAGCTATCTTTCTTCATTCCAGTTCCAACGGGTCCATGGCGTCTCTCCCATAACATGCGATTCAGTTGTTTTGCATAGCATCTCTCAGCAGTGACAGCAACGCCCAAATCGCCGTCTACAAAACAAATTAATTTCAACTTGAATATTTCCATTTTAGTGTATTAAAAATTATGTTCTATACTGACATTTAATTGAGTAATTTTCTTCAGCTTCCTGGTAAATGTCAGCCAATGGTTTGCATTTCCTCATGCCATCTGGTGATTCATAAATCCGACAATCTTCATACCTCTGTCTTAAAATAGATAGAATATTGCTATCTACCAGCCTGTAAAATTTTAATTTTAAAAATGTTGAGCTTTAAACATATTTTAACATTTTTTGTAGTAAATAAGAAAAATGTCAATAATAATCAGAAAATATTACTAATATTTTCCTATTTTAAATTCTAAGCAGAGATGTATTGATATTAAATTTATATTTTATTTTTGACGTCACCTTTGGGAGCAGGAAAATTTTTTTGATCAATTTTGAGGGTGGTTTCATGTAGGAAATTGGATCTAGTTGATACTTTGAGGTTTTTACTATACACAATGAAATTTAAAAATATTTTGATTAATTTTAAGCTATTTATATTACAAACCCATTCACTCCGTCTATAGTATTGACTTATAAAAAATTAGTTCAACCTGCTATTCTAATAATACCAAAACAAATATACTATAAAATATCCTAAATATAGGCTAATACTGCCTAATAGACTGTCTCACCGTAAGAATAATTTTTTAATCAAATTTAATGATTTATTATTGAAATCAAATTTAACACATCCATTACAATAACAGGGTACACACTACACCTATAGTCGCAAATAGTGTTATAAATTTGTAGGGGGGGGGGGGGGCTAAACATTTTAATAACTTTATATAAAGTTGGGCAAATATAAGTTCATTAATATAGTTGAAACTTGAAAGACTCAAAGAAGAAGAATATAATAAAAATTATAGAAAAGATCTTAAATTAAAATAGGTTATAGGTCAAAATTTGATATAAAATTAACAATTTATCATTGTATTGTAAATTTTAATACAAATAATCAATGTTTTAAACAAAATTCATTCATTTTTATTTGTTTTGTGCTCTCGTTTTCTGGGATTAATAAAACTTTATTTTTGTAGAAGAGAAAAATAAAAAATATTATTAGTCATTTTTAAAAATTAAACCAACTACCATAATAGCCAATAGGTTGTAAACAGATCGAAACTTATGAGCCAGGAAAAAAAATTGTATAGTGAATGTTAACCCAGGTCCACACCAATCCAATGCAGTGAAAAATAAACTTCCAAGACTCGCTACATGAGGAGCACCTGGCCACCCTTTTCGCACTGATTTGGTGTGAGCAGGCCTTAACCATAAATTACATAAACATAACTTATTGTTGAAATTCTGAACATAACTTGTTAAAGAAGTAAAATGTTGTATGAAAAAATCTATAAAATATTGATTAACAGAAAAATATAAATATTTAATAGATTAAGCATTGTAAATAATTTCTTTTGAAATAATAAAAAGTACCTTGCGGATGCAAAACATGTATGTGCTGCTTCTGTCTTAACAGTTACACACACAAGTTAAATGTGCTTAAATAATTAATTTTTTAAGTTCATTTAACTTGTTCTAAAAAAAAAAATCCTTAGATTTAGTTGGGTACCCTCTACAAATGTCCTCAAATATTAACTATAAACCTTAGAAAGATTCCAGTGTACAAAATATTTGGTATGTAACATGTGTTTAAGACAGAAATAACACATGCAGTTGCATTATTCTCTTAACCAAGTTTAAATACCAATATATTTATTATTTTGACAATTTAGATTTCAATTCGTTTTGGCTGTTTTATAGATGTACTAAGTATCTATGTATTTAATATTAAATGTTATAAATACTTATAGTTATACTATAATGTGTTTTTATAAAAGCATAAACATAGTTTAGATGTTGTCTTATTCAATATTTTAAAACCTAAACTCCAAGGTGTATAAATTAAGTTTTAAATTTAAAAAAAAACCCCCAAATAGGTAGGTTAATAATCGCTCCATCAACTATAGATTATTTTTCGATTTGTCACACATACTTATCCCGAATCAACTGTTGATTGGCTTCCCATTTGCAAAGTCTATCATCGTCATAACATTGATCAACTGTAGGCACTCTTCGCAACTGTTCATGATAGTAGTTGTAGTCTTGCTGATTGGGCTTTACAATGGTTTCTACAAACAAATGGCAAATAAACGAAAACAAAACTCAATATAACTATTGACTAACAAATACAGTAGAGGAAACAACGAGTAAACAGTAACTGCGTTACCTCTAACCCAAATTGCGGGTCCAAGGAATACGCCTTTTAGGACCTCTAAAAAGTCTTCGATCGAGTTCCGACCGGTATGCACTTGTTTTTCGTAACCGAAAATCCTCCCCGGCATGGTGTCTGAATCCGAAGACATTGTCGCGTCGTCCCGATAGTATTTTAGTAAACGACAGAAAACGAGAAAATCGCAGGAGTGAAAATTTTAAGAACGTCGTCGTGCTATCAGCGGATTCATATTTAGATAATCAGTCGGGGACTCGGGAAGTCGAACGACCTTTGGAAATAATTTGCCGGATAATGCGATAGCGAGCACACGGTATTTAAACGTACCATTGCTGGTGGCACTGTGTCCGTACTTATCAAGAAGTTAATATTTTGCTGAAAAAAATTGGGCGGATAGACTCGTGAACCAAGATTACAATAATTATAAACCACTTTCAAGGTACTCTCGAATTATTGTCGACATTATTTTGTTTTATAGAATCTGATTTTAAATTGATTGAAAACTAAAAAATCTCGCTCTTAAATCGAACGCCATGAAATTCTGCGGACCTAAACTGTCCCTGTGCGGGATCATTATCAGCATTTGGGGAATAATCCAATTGGTGAGTAAACCGTTTTTTGGCTGTCGGCTATAACCGATGTTAACATTATTTTTAAGTCTGTAACAATTGTCTTTGCCCAGGTCATGATGGGATTCTTCTATTACATCCGGAGTGTAGCGCTCATTGAAGACTTGAACATCTCCGAGGAACACAAGTTTACTGATCCACAAGATTTCTACAGCACTGCCGACAAAATGTATTCTCTGGTGAGGAGTAACTATGTCACTAATATAATAATGCCGCCATTAAAATATTTTATACTATGTAATATCTGAAATTATTTTTATAGTTTGCATGTTGCACACTGTTAACTACTACCGGGGCAGTGACTCTTATAGTATCCTACACTAGACCACACCTGGTCTTAAAAATGGGTGGGTTTTTGCCTACAATAGGTTGTACACTTGCACCATACATTTAAATAAATCTTTTTAATTAGCATACATTATTAACAGATACATAATTACCTAAAAAGTCTTAGGCAGAATTAAAAATTGTTAAAATGTTTTAATAAAAGTTTTTGGTGTTTGGTTCTGGGTTGCTCCTCATGTAGGTTATTAGAACCCCAAAATTCCTCCAGTTATAAATGTTATATTTTGTTTTGCTAAACATTTTTAGTTAAAAATATAAAATAAATATTCAATTTTAATTTGAAGTACCTGTTTTATTAAATCATATTTATTATGTTTTTTGTGCCTTCATTAAAGTATATTTTAACTCTGAATTAGAAAAAAATAATAAACTCATAAAAATATGGAATATTTATACTGAAATAAATCTTACAAAATAAAATCGTTCATAGAATACATGTGTATTTAAAAAAAATATATATTTAATCATAGTTTGGTTAGGTAGTTAATTTATAATTGGCTTTAGGATAATAGGTTTATAACGTATAGTATATGATAGGTTTATTTATAACTATTCTTTAGAAAATGCATGCAAATATACTCTTAAGGGGACGGTTGTTTTAATTATATATTTATTTACTTGTACTTAGTTATAGTTTGTTAAATTTATATAAAAACCATCTAAAAGCATGTAAAAATTTTAAAATTAAATTTAAATTTAAAAAAATCAAAATGTTGCTTTGTTGTTCGTTATCATATTGTTTTCATAATAGTAGTGTACTCTCAGTACCCTTGATTGGTAAAAAAGAACAAACAAAGTAAAATAAAATAAAAATGAAACATATTTTTAAAAAATATTTAAATTTGCAATACGCTTTTATATTTTGTTTTATTAAAATATGACATGGGTGTATAATAAATGTAAAGTGAGAGTTTTTGTTACTGGAAATTCATTATGGAGACTTTTTCGAGCCTTATTTGTTGTATTATTTGAGTGAACATAATTTAGTTTGTTTAGTGTTGGCAGTCATCGGTGGGTTAATACACAGTTCTTATATTAGAGTTAAATTTTAAAAATGGAAATTTTTAAGTCAAATAAAGGCGGTGAACACAAAAGTTAAAATACTTGTAGAAGGGAAAAAAAATTTACTTGGATATGTTCTACAAAAAAATCTATTAATTGTAATTAAATACTAATGTATACCTACTAAATCTAATCTAAAAGAATTATTATTTTTTTCGTGCTTCCTCAGTAAGGATGTACGAGAATGGCTAAACTTAACTTAAATAGAGTATAACATTATTGTTGTTATAATATATTTAAATTTATAATGACCTTATTCACCATATTTTAACAAACTATTGAATTGTCTAAGTTTTTGTAATTGTTTTGTGATCAACATACAATGTAAGCAGTTGATAACCTTTTTATTTTTTTTTTCAGAACGCATATAACTGTTGGATTGCTGCTTGCCTCTACATATTTACACTTGTTGTATCAGGACATCAGTTCTATATGAACAACCGCAACACAATGAGTTTGTAAAATGTTATTTATAATTTATGTTACATTTTTATTATTTTTAAGAGGTTTTATTTTTTTGTTTTCTTCATTTTTTTTTCTATTGCCTCCACGATCACATTTGAGTTATTCCACATTGTTAACAGATTGTAAGATTATTGGGTTTCAGCATTGTCGTATTGTCAAAAAATGTCATAGGTTATAAGAAGTAAATATGGAATATATATAAAATAATTAAATATACATTTGGTATTTTATACTGTTATACCAAATATTGTAAATTATTTATCATCTGTAGATTTTACTTTAACAGTATTTATAAATAGAAGGTAGTTCAAAATTGTGTGTTAAATAATGTAATAATAAAATATGATTATATATTAAAATTATATTCTCAACACTATATTTTTTACCATTAAGCAAATAGTTAAAATGAATTAAATTGCACTTAAATCTGTGGTTTCAATTGTAGGCGAATAAAAGCAATATTGATTAAAGTAATACTTGCAACTGTGCAAGTACAATATACATTTAATGCTCATATAAATTCCTGACTGTATGCAGTGCGTATGCAAATTATATTATTCAAGTTGCACTTGCCAATAGCAGAGTAAAATTTGCTTCCTTCAATTAATGTCCTATAACGTTTTATCTACATGGTTATTCAACAGTTTATCGACTCAACTTACTAAGATTTGTCATGTCCCTAGTGTGTAAAATACAATGCATGAACATTCCTTGAGAAGTTTATGTTTTTTTTAATATTTGAATTTTCAACTGTAATACAAAAAAAAGATGTTGCATGTGCAAGTACTGCAATCACAATTTTGTATAAACAAATAAATAAAATATTTGAGAAATATTTATTAAGGCCTTTTAAACAATTCTATATTTGATATGTTCAACATTTAACAGTTATTCTTATTTATTAGTTCCAAAAATAATATAATGGTATTAAAGCTATGAACAATTGTATACTAGAGTAAAATAAAAAATAAATTAATAGCTGTACAATAATAGATCATTCAAGTATAAAATAACTTTAACATCATATAACATTTCAAAATATGAGAAGACATTAACATAACAATGTTTTTATGACTATGTCTTGAACAGTACATTATTGGTTTTTAAAAAATATATTATTTCAATTTTTTAAAGTTATAATAATAATGATAAAAATATCTTTGGGACAATAAATTATCAATTTAAAAAAATAATAATAAGTTGCACAAAATTACCCTTAAGTTTAACATGAAAATATATAATAACAATTTGTTTACTGATAAGCTAAAACTAATAAATAATAATTATATTATTTTATATAAGTAAATGCCCGATTATGCATTTTGGTAAAAATTTAAAATTATTAGAGTGTTCTCTTGTAAATCTTTTCCAAGAATTTGAAAAACATGTCTTGTGACAAACCACGTGACAACTGTTGAATATGAGTACATATTAATTTATAACTTTCTTCTTCGTAAAGTTGAAATGTGTCTGGTAATTTCAACTGTGCATACAAATCTTTGATGACTGCAACATTGGCTGGATTGTCAATACCATAATTATCCTAATACAATACTCAAATTATGTTAAACATTCAAAGCATACAATAATTGAGTAATATAATATTATGTTACCTCCATAATTTTCTTTTGTTCAGAATTGACTTTTTGCAAAGCCACTACAGCTAACCACGAACATTTACCATCTTCTATGTCTGTGCCAATTTTTCCCATGACATCTGGATCTCCATAACAGTCTAAAAAGTCATCCTAAAAAAAAAAAGTTTCTTATTATTTATTTAAATAACTTGTATTGATTAATATATTAATTAAATTATTAATATACTTGAACTTGGAAGAAGTGTCCCATTTCAAGCAATATGGTCTTTGCTTGTCGAAAGATTTCTGGGTCATTGATGTTTGTCTGCAATATTATTTTACTAAGTAAAATCCAATGGATGTAATCATAAATATGTTGTGCTTACCATACGCATCGCGAGACACACTGGAAGGAAAAATGAATAATAAGCAGTCTTATATTTCACAATAGCTGTGTAATTTTCCATAGTATATTTTTCAAGTTTTTTTGACTTGAAGCTATTCGCGGTCAACATATCAAGACACTGACCCATCGCAGTTTTCATTGTAACCTAATTATTACATTGTATCAGAGCAGTAGTCGAGGCAAGTTCGGGCCCTATGTTGGTTTAATTACATTTAAGGCCGCAATATAGATATTGATTTAGTAACATAAATAAGACGTGTACAAATTTTTCCCAGGACCCTTAAATATCTTAAAATTGGCCTTAAATTGTGTAATTCAAGCAACATAGAAATTAATATAAATAATTTTTTTATTATTTCATACGTCATAGAACAGCTCCAGAATATGTGTATAGTAAGGCTTATCCTTGAAGTACTTTTTAATCAACTGGTAAATGGCCTGCTCGAGGAGAACACCATCGTTTATTGCCATTAGACCAATATCGTTGTGTCGATACCAACACGGACGTCCTCGTCTAGTTATAGCGTTATCCATTATGTCATCTAACACTAATTGGTAGGCTTGGAGCTAAAAAAAAATGAACATATTATTATACCTATGTAAGTAATTATTTATTGGTTTCCCATCTACACTGTATTGCACACAAGTTCCTAATTAAGGTAATATTATACAATAGGTAGTCCTCAGTACTTAAATAAATAAAATTATATTCATAATACCACTAACAAACAATGAATAATTAAAATTAAGTTCACAAGTGATTAAAGTAGTTAAAATTCCAAAAAAAAAAAATAGTGCAATGAAATATTTTTAAATTGACACAAATATCAATAGAAATTATAACATCATAATATAATTAATATATACCTATATTATAACTGTTACACTTAATTATTATTACCAAAGTATTATATTATATTATATTAACAAAAGTTAGTTCCATATTATATTGTTAATTTTACTTTGTATGACTTTTATGGATAATAACAAAATATAATAGGTCATAGGTGTATTATTATTAATAAAAAAATTAACTGGCAATGTACCTAATTCAAATGTATTCTTTACACGGTTAAATCATCTGAATGTGGGGGGAAAAAATGTATCAATCTTAATAAATAATCTACAGTTATAATTTTTAATGTAATAAATTAATTCATCAAAGGTAAAAAATGTAATCAATAATAGCTTATGATATAGGTATCCTGTTATTAATAATAATTATATTATTTATAAATTATAATGAACATATGTTATACAAAACTATACGTTTTATTAAACCATTCATGAATTATAATTGTTACTATCATTAATTGCCAATTAATCAAATCAATTCATTTAAAAATTATAAAATTCAATAAATTCCTACTTAATAATAATAATTAGTAACAAGATTAAAAATATTTATTAGGAGAAATGCCAAGACAAATCTTATATAATATAATGAAACATTGTTATCGTCTCTACCAGTCTACCAATTATTTTGTACAATTTTATTTGGAATAAAGTTACATTATAAGATTGAAACTTGAATGTAAAAAAATAGCATATTGAATTTTACATTTTATATATTTAAACAATATTATGTAGGTATCTTTAAAATAAAACTTATTATTGGAAAGTTCTTTTTGAGTTTTTTGAGAAAACAGTATTTCAAATTTAACTTTCATAATTTCATAGCCATATGATTTACTTGCTAATGAACTTTAAGTCTTAAATCAATTTGCAATTTTTAATCTACATTTATAAATTATATTTAATTTAAGAGAGTGCACAAAAAGAGATGAACTTATTTATTGGCTGGTCAGTAGTAGTGTTTCCCTCTAGTTACAACTCAAAACGACTTACAATTTCCACACACCATCCCAGTATGTAAGACAATTTAAGATTTTCATCGGTCTGATCAGCAGGCGAGGATAGCATTTTGAATGACAATACCAACGCCAATCCTCGATTTTTCTTACCTCCAGGCACGTTGTATTGCAATAGCTATAATAATATAGAAAATTGAATACATAGCTGCTACACAAAATCATAGTCACATACCTTTGCAAGCCACTTGGTAACATCGGGCACATCCAAGTTACGGCCGGTGTCCGTCAGATCCCTGACAACGTCTGGGAACACTGCCATGAAATCCCTGGTCTCGTCCTTGCTGACAGCCGTACCAGTTATGACCGGAGGGACTGGCGGCGCGCGAACTGTACTCATAGACCTAAGACATGATGAATTTTTTTTTAAATTTATAACAATACATGGATTATATGATCTTTATATTACACAGATACCACAGGGCACGGACTTACCGAAAGCTATTTTCGCGAACGGCGGACGAGTCGGAGAGCAAAAACGCGCTCCGGCGGCTCAGGGCCCTCGTAAAAGTCAGCATTTTGTTCATCTCTTACGATGTAAGTAGGTGCCTAAGCTGTGTGGATCGATGCGAACGTTGCTACGATTTGTGGCGACGTGAGAAGAGTTCTGGACCGGAACTGGACGAGCAATGTTCCGCGTATGACTGCGGAGAGATCAGCCGCCACTATTCGAAAGAGTGCAGTCGGCCGCAACGGGACTAGAACTGCGGACGTGCAGCCGTCGTCGTCGGCGCTTCGCGGCACAGGTGAAATCTCGTAAGAATCGCGTTTTCGAATTCCAGAAAAAAAATGTGCGTGCGGCCGCGGCGCTCTCTACACGGCAGATGGGCAACTATCACACTCGTCTTCACCGGTTGCGTCACGGCCGGGCTTGAATTTTTCGATTTATGTTCCGCCGCCGAGCATAATCCGGGCGCAGCTATAATGCCGCGACCTATAGTGACTACCTATTGTTGGCCATTACATTATTATATACCTTCCTACTTTGACGGGTTATCCACTTGCACGTGCTGTTATATCGTCGAGTGAAAGTGGTCAAATGCGTCGCGTTTTAAAACAATATTGAATTTTGGAATTGCTGTGATTAATCATCGTTTAATATTTATTAAAAAGTATTACATAATATTCCTATTGGCTATTACACTGCAGACGGTCTGTTAACGTTTTAGAGAAGTTTAGTTTATTTTAATAGCTAGTAGGTACTGGAAAAATCCAAATCCAAATTCATCGCAAAAAATATTTTCAAAATCCTGGCCGAACGACTCTGATTTACCACGCTCCTAGAGAAATTTCACTGTTATTTGTTAGAAGAAATAGAAGATAATATTATGTAGGTACACCTTACATTCTTACCCAACTAAGGACGATGGGACAATCTGAAACTATTGCACGGACTTCGTTTTGAAGCTACTGCAGATATATTATTAGTTTACGACCTTTTCTTCGGTACCTACTTACATATGATCCTACATTCCTACAATCCTACGTAAGTACAGACTACAGGCGTAGGTTCAGCTTAAATAGGCTATAATAAATATTGTAAATAGGGAACTGTATAAGTTCAAACTATTTACGATATCAAATTGGCGCATTGCAGTTTACACTCCTGACTCCTTCTTCGATTTTTGTAATTTTTTTGATACTTAGATAAATAGACATTTTTAAAATGGGCAAGTATAGCTCACTATTTAAAACCACTCTTCTGTAGATACAGCAGGGGTGCCTCATCAATTAGTATTAATGAGGATGTGTTAAATTTGAATTCAATGATAAATCATTGCATACGAAAAACGGCTCTAAGCTGAGTACCTAAGAGCAGGCCTATATAATAATATAATATATATTATTACTAAGTAGGTATAATTGATTTATATTTATATTCATTTATTTTACATTGCTATAATAGTACCAGTGGCGCCGAACTATATTTTAAAAGGGGGGGCAAGTAAAAAGTTATATAGACCACCACTTCCATTTACGCTTGCTTTAGTGCTGCATATGTATACATTAATAGCTTATTAGGAACATAATTCATAAGTAGTTTGCTGGGGTACCCACGGAGCCCCACGACCCCACCCACCGAAAAAAAGGGGGGGGCGGTCGCCCCTCTTGGGTTATAGGTTCGGCGCCACTGAATAGTACATTATTTTTACTATTAATAATATCGTAGCCTATTCATAGGTTGAATTATTTTTTCAAAAAACGTAGCACTTATTATAACCTATAGGTATAGTATATAAGTAGGTAGGTATATATAATAATAATATATATATATATAACTATTAATTGTATCATATATTATTGTTATTAGCTTAGAGTCAATTAAGACTTACCGTAGAATGGTGTAAAGAGGTTCATGGTATAAATAGGCGATCTATACCTTAAAAATAATCTGAATATTGTGAAAATGGCATTGTGTACATTTGTATAATATAGTAAAAATAGTAATATAGGTATTATGTAAATGTTTCAGATATCCACGGATAATATTTTTTAGTAAAATAAATAAAATCATTAGGTAGGTACTCTGTATTTAAAATATTTTATTTCGTCAAAAATTGTGCTTCAAATAGCTATTAAAAAAAATTGTGCTTAATTATATATATTTTTAAAATTGTTGGGAATCAGTAAGTACTACTTAGGAAAAACTTGTATTAAATTAAAGCCCTAATAAATAATTTGTAAATTTTCCAAATTTTGACGAGTTTTCAGTTTTGCCAACGTTAGAACTACAACGCTAATAAAATAAATCGTATTAATACATGTGTTTCCAATATTTTTTAATTTCTATAAGAACAATTTATTTGATTAAGTTATAATTTTTTTTAAATATTATAAAATATTTCCTACAATCACCTAACCTATATATGGCTAAATAACGTACCCTATACAACTCCCGCGGGGCCAAATGTCCTATCTTCATAAATCATAAGTCATAACTGACTGCAGGGACAACGTCGTTTTCCTTATCGGCTATCGAGTGTACTTTTCCTTCAGAGACAGAATATGTTTCACCAAGTCCGTGCTACAGATTTACAAGCATAGGTGCAAATAAGGGGGGGGGCTTTAGCCCCCCTTACAGTTTCTATAGCCCCCTCTAAAAACCAATGATTTAACTACTGTAATTTAAAATCATCATAAGAGTTTCAAGAATAGACCTGAGCTTCAGTGACCCGCCCCTAAATTTCAAATGCTATTTACGCCACTGTATATACGTGTACCAGTCAGTGTCGGTATGGCTAATCATTTTTTATGTACCTTCGTCCTTCAATGTTTTTTATCTGTTATAATTTATCTTCTGTGTAAAATTAATATCATAGATTCATAAGTCATAACTATATACCTATTATCAACAACTATTATAAGTTATGATATTATTAGTTATTGATCCAAAATCCTTACTAAAGGTATATTTATTTAAAAGTGTTTTAGGTACCTACCTACTTCAAAATGTATCTATCTATAGATTTTGACTTTTTGAGCATTAGTTCATATAATATACAGTGTGTAAACGGTAATCGAGAACACTCAATATCTTTACGTAGAGACCTGCTATTTGAATTCCGTTCTTTTGGCAGTTGTTATGACATAAAAATACACATTTTTATGGTCGTTGAATTTTTTTTACTTAATTAGTCACTCGCATGCGCATGTCAACTTTTTTTTTTTTAAATGGCAACCCCCTGCTTTAACCACTACTTATTTTTTGCCTATTTTTTTTAATGAATTTTGGTAGTTAAATCAACTTTCTAAGTCCAAAATTGACCAAGTTACAGCCAATCAAAAAAAGAAAAAATTAGAAAAAAAATGCCCTCGATTTTCAGCTTTTTGATTGTAACTCTGAAAATAATTATTTTAGGGTTGTTAAACATTGACATTTTTGTAACTATTTATTACGGTGATATTCATACGTTATTTTAACTTCAATTACTGAATAATTTTCTCGCGCTGAATCATGTTTTGTTCACGGCAGAGAACAGTTTGAACAATTCATTCGTTAGATTTTTTTTTTTTTTTAGATTTTTATTAACTAAATCAATTGGTAACTTAAATAAGAATTGCATTTGTTATTAATTAATAATTATTAATACGTTCTAATAGATCCATTAAATGTAAAGAAATAAACAACATACTAATTTACGTTTTTTCTGCTATAATAAGTTATATGATTTATTACACAAATTAAAGAGAAAATTATTCAGTAGGTAATTGAAGTTAAAATAACTTATGAATATCACCGTACTAAATAGTTACAAAAATGTCAATGTTTAACAATCCTAAAATAATTATTTTCAGAGTTAAAATCAAAAAGCTGAAAATCGAGCGCATTTTTTTTCTAATTTTTTTTTTTTTTTTTTTTTTTTTTTTTTTTTTTTGATTGACTGTAACTTGGTCAATTTTGGACTTAGAAAGTTGATTCAACTACCAAAATTCATTAAAAAAATAGACGAAAAATAAGTAGTGGTTAAAGCAGGGGGTTGCTATTTAAAAAAAAAAGTTGACATGCGCATGCGAGTGACTAATTAAGTAAAAAAAATTCAACGACCATAAAAATGTGTATTTTTATGTCATAACAACTGCCAAAAAAACGGAATTCAAATAGCAGGTCTCTACGCAAAGATATTGAGTGTTCTCGATTACCGTTTACACACTGTATACATAGTATATACCTATAGTATATATAATAACTATATATAAGATTTAATTTACCAATTTATACTTTAAACTATGAACATAATTACATAAACATCATATACTTCTGTTTAGTTAAAATGTACCTATATGAATAACCGAATAAAGTACTTTCAGTATTTCCTAATTATCTATTGTTTGTGTATTATATACTCCTTTTCTCCATCTGTGTAGTATATTGTATACAGATTGTATTCTAGTTTCTAAAATACTAAAATACTTACAAGTTAGGTACCTAGGTAATATATACTGTACTAGGTATAGTGTATATCTACATAGATAGGTACCTAATATGTAATTTTTTGATAGGTAGGTAATAAAAATGTTTAATAGCTATAATAGATACCACCTACTTTAGAATATTTTAACAAACATAATATTACATTACTATAATTAATATTTAAAATAAAATCAATGTTTATTTTTTTTCAACCACAGGTTTTGTATAGTCATCATAAATAAAGTACCTATATAATATTCTAATTATAATAATATAATTTATACAGTATTTTGATCAATGTTATATAGGTACTAAATAAGTACCTAATTGGTAATTTGGATTAATATACGAATATTATATAGACTATATAGGTGTATAGCTAAAGAATAAACAGTTTATTACTATTATATCATATTATATCTTATATCTATAAATCTATTTAAGTATTTACATATATATTATAGGTTTCATAAATCATAATAATACCTATAATATATAGTTTCAAGTTTATGACTTATGTATGGGTAGGTACCCTGCTGTAGTGCTGTGTTCTATTTAGTATTTATAATACATTTTTATTTATTGATGTTGAAATAATTTGTGGTTTATAGGTCA